ATTGAAAAAGCCTCGACAAGGGCTTGCAATTTATCTACTTCTAAGCTTAACACATGCACGATATTCACAATTTGAAACTAGAAGTCACGAGACTTACCTGGGGTCCTCTAGACTTACAATTTGCTAGCATTCCCACGGCGAGCTTCGAGTTCCTAGAATCTCACTTACAACACAAAAATGGTTAAACCACACAAGAAATATTCACAAAACACAGTATTCACAATCAAACTAAATTTAACCCTAAACTTTGGTTGCTAAACCGTTTGCAGTCCCCGGCAACGGCGCCAAAAATTGATCGGTTGGTCAATTAACATCAACCTTCGCAATAGCACGAATCATTGTAAAATAGGGCTATTGGTCGGGTAAGTCGAACCACTGGGACTGCGCTAGTCTTAAGGCAACCTAAGTGTCTAAAGTCATTTTAGAGTGATAAGGGGTGTTCATAGAGGGTTTGTTTTATGGTCACTAAACTAGGAATTCAAAGTGCATAAAATAATAGTGTTAGTAAATGAGAGTTAGAGATAATAAAAGGGGAAACTAGAGAAGTGAATCCACCTACGCCCTAAATACATGCTAAATCAAGACTAAATTGGGGATAAACACTATATAAGCAATGATCAAGAATTATGTAGCAACACATAGTTGCTTCATAACCAATAAGAAGTTCATGAGATTAAAACAAGAATGGTCTATCAAAAGACAACACATTTGGACTACCTAGACTAGGGTGTAGTATCAAATACATTAACTTAAGCAAAAGACCATCAAGCATTCAATCAAATGATGAAGCACATGAAGGTAAGAATCAAGCATAATCCATCAAAGGAGGTACCTAAGCAATGGAATATCAAGTTTCAAAATCAACATGCCTTGAAAACCATTCATAGTTAATATCTTCATTGTCACTATGAAAATAAAAGCAATAAGACTAATGTAAGAATCATCAAGACAAGCTAAATAACTCACATCAATCATTTAAACATGAATATTCATTACAAGAAGTAATAAGCTCTTAAACTATGAAAAGACCAAAGTTTATACATTATAATCCCCAAAATAGAACCTAATCTAGAACATGAACAAAAGGGGAGGCTTCATCACCTCCCTAGATGAGGTTTAGTTACCCATGAGTGAGCTAGAAGAAGGAAGAAGCTTGCCCTTTTCCTCCATTTTCGAGCTCCCTTCCTTTTGCTCCAAGAACCCTCTTCTTCTTGCTCTCTTCTCTCTCCTCTATCTTGTAGAATATAGGATAATGATATGTGTGGCCTTCCTTGCCTTATCTCCTTCAACAAAGCTCTCTCTCTCCTCCAAAAAAACATCCCCAACCACCTCATAAAGAAGTAAGTAGAAAATGAGGAAACCAATGCACAAGTGGCTGCCAAAATGAGAATTCCCGAAGGCAATTCTGCCCCAAATTCGAGCACTCTAAGCAAGGCCTCGAGCGCTCGAATTTAGTGTAAAAATGCCCATGCTTCACTTGCTCTGCCCAGACCTACTTTGGTTAAACAGCCATAACTTTGCGCTCCGAACTCCGAATGACAAAACGTTTAAAGATTTGGAGAGATGATTCAGAGCTTTAAAAACTTCATGTTTTGATGAAGACCCAAATCTCAAGTCTGGTTGGTCGAAAATGGGGAGAAAGGCAGTACTTCAGTGCTGCCAGGCAGTTCTGCGCACCTCTGGTAACAAGGCCATAACTCTCTGGTCTGAGCTCCGAATGACGAACTTCTTGAAGATTTGGAAAGCTGATTCAGAGCTCTAAATATGCCATTTTATAATGGAAGTCCAGTTCTCGAGTTTGCAAGGTCAAAATGGTGAGCAAAGTCCTGACTCCACTGCTGCCAGAAATTCAGAATTGTGCCTTTTGATGGCCAAAACTCCACAAAGCCTTGATTTTGCTCCTTTTTTGGCAAATGGACCTGAAAATGCATAAAAACATAGAAATGAAGATAATCTACATAAATTAACATACAACGGACTTTACTAATGCAATTTAGGGCGCTTGAATATATAATATTCGGCGCTTATCACCTTGTCATTCTGTCGGTGTCCGTTCCCATTCCCTTTCTCAGCTGACTGGTTAGCAGAGTCTCTGTCACCTCGCTTCTCACCCTTGGCCTGTCTGATGTCCACGGTCAACTAGTACTGCTGTAGAGTGGCGTCTACCACCTGAGCATAGGTAGTATAGGCTGGACTACTTGTAATAGCTCTCTTGATAAACCATATCAGTCCCTTGACAAAATTATTGCGCTTCTTCTCCTCTATATCCACCTCCTCTGGTGCAAAGAGAGACAAACGTGTAAACTGCTGCTCATACTTCGCTACTGTCATGTTCCCCTGCTGCAAATTTAGAAACTTAGTCTGCATGGCTGCCCTGACTGCATAAAGGAAATATTTCTCTTCAAAGCGTGCACTGAATTCATCATAAGTCAATGCCATCCTCTCCTCTATGGTGGTAACTGACTCCCATCACTGTAGTGCATCCCCAACTAGCTTGAAAGTAGCAAGCATCTACTTCTGTACCTCCATGCACTGAACCAAGCGAAGATGTCGCTCGATGTCCTGTTTCCACTGGTGAGCTGCTTTCACATCGGTGGAGCCTGTGAACTCAGGTGGGCTCCCCTTTGTGAAAGAACTCCTGGCCTTCTCCCAAGAATCAATCTGAACAACCGGTGCTGGTAACGGTGCCGACTGTACCTGAGGCTGATTCCGGAGTGCAGCAGTTACCCCCGCTTTTGTAGCCAGAGCAATAAGGTCATTGAGGTAAGGAGGATACTCTGGATCTCCTCCCTGATCCCGAGTCTGTTGAACTGCCTCCTGAACCTGACCACCATAATCCTGAAACCCAAGTCTTTGCTGCTCTTCCTCCATTTGCTGACACCGTAGGAGATATTGTTGCCTACGAGCTGCCTTCCTTTCCTTCCTAGTTCCTTGCATGTTCTGTCTGTTTCTAGCGTTAACCATCTGTTAACACAGAAAGACAAACATCAGTACCATTTCTAAATGAACCGTAAAGAATACAATGAATCCTAAACTTAAGCTCCAATCAAGAGAAAATGCTACACGGAAGACTTAATACGAAACATCCTAGAGACACTTGAACCTGGAGTGCTCTGATACCAATTGTGATAACCCTCGGATCTGAGACATGGGTTGATCAGGCCCAGGCCCAAACCCGAGGGAAATATCAAACAATTAATACTTTAATGAACATAGAATACAAATTGAATTAAGAAATAAAATTTAAGCTGAAAGAATCTAAATATATACATAAACCTACACAGTTTAGGTTGTTTCATAAAATCCGGTATCATGCCAAGTTTAAATCTTAATAGCATTCAACATCCAGCAGTTAATATTATAGACAGTTAAGGTAAACATCAACAAAATCCATGTCTCCAATAATTGATACTAGTAGTGATAATGAAAACATCAACACAAAATTACAGTATACACATAGACATGTTTAATCTGTAGTGTTTTCACAAAATCCAGTATAGTGGTAAGTTTGTTTAAATCTTAAAGTCACTTAACACCAATTCATCCAAAACAAATATAATTCAGACACATGATCATGTTATATGATAAAGCATATTATTTGTCTTAGAAGATTACAAATCACAGAGAATTAAACCAAATTAAATCTTCCGACTCCAACCACAGTGTGTTATTTTGCTTACAACATATACTGTTCAAGTGACAACCATAATTAGATTATTAACATGCCTCCTAAAGTCTTTGAATTGTCTCTAAGCATCATCCATACACCTCACACAAAGTCCTAAACCCAACTGAAAACACAGAGAACCAACCACTGCAACTAAAACTATCTGAAAACGAAAAAAGTAAAAAAAAAAAAAAAAAATGCATCAAGGAGACATCTCCCAAAAGTGGAGCCACCTCCTTTAGGTCTTGGATCCGGCTCCCACGCTTGGGAGCCGCCTCTAACTCAAAAGGAGCCGGCTCTCTCTAAGGGAGAGCCGGCTCTCTCCCTCTCTGCCTCGCCTCTTTGCCTTCTCTCTTCTTCAGACGTCTTCTGCAACTTCTCTACGCTACGCTATGGTTTCCAGAAGTTGTAACTCAATCCCAATAGGTTCCCAGTCCATGTTTAAGTCATTAACACATCCCATACATAGGTTTAAACAGAGAATTAAGCAAGCAAATAACATGTTTTAACAGGTTTTTTAAGCATGCAACACATACTGATATGTTTCAGTTTAAGCACAAACAGAGAAAATTTATAATTGATTCAATTAATCCTAGAACTGTTTAAGAATGCAAAGAACATGAAGCCTAAGGGAGAGAGTAAGGATAGAACTTACCTTACACCAACGTTTGTCTCAAATTTCCGGCGAATCCTCTGTTTGCTCTCTGTTCTTTCCCAGCCGTCTCCAAAACTTCTCTCAACCTTACAATGTCATAAGTTTATTCTAAAACCCTAGGTAAACAACTTAGGTGAATATTTATAGGCCACACCAATCCTAGGCTCTCTTAAACCCTAACTGGATTTACTTGGCCCATAAAAATCTAGGTTTATCCCAATGACGGCTGTGAACTACAAACCTAACATACGCAACCAATCCTATAGTCACGTTAAAACTAAACAAATTTAATTAATTAAATTTATACCATTAAATCAACTAAGTAAACAAACACAATTTAAATAATAATTAAATAACTAATACACTAAATCAATAATTAAAACAATTAAATAAAGTAACTACAATTAAAGCAATTAAATAAACACATAGACATTTAAACAATTAAAAATTTAAACTTAAACAATAAAGGAAATACCAGGATAATCCTTTTGAATTTAGGGGTATTACAAGTATTGCCTAAAAACAAATATCCTAAGGTCTATTGTATAAGTGTATCACCAACCAATCTATAAAAAAAACATTCCCTGTTTCTGAAAATTCCATAGAGCAGAACACATAAAGTAAAAAAAATACTCCAAAATCTTCCCATTTTAGACTATTGTTCTATCCTGGGAATACCTCCTTCTAAACCAAACCTACCATATTGATTTACAGAAGTTCTTTCACAAAATCCTTGGTAATCATCCTGTCTCAACATAATGTACCACAAGCAAATATCTGTTTGCCTGAGCAAAACCAATCATCCCACTATGATAGACATTTATGAGCCCAACATACCCATTCTAATATAGCTTAATAAAACCATATGTGTATAAATTGCCAAAAATGCCATCACAAAACACAATAAAATAGCCAAAACCGTTAGATCACTTTATTAAGAACTTTTTCAAACCACAACTGTCAACCCAATAACTGTAAGGTATTCTTTAACATAATCCTAATGTATAAGATTAAATCCATACTACATTCTTACTAATACCTCCTTCACTACTAGTAATTATAAGTACTTTTAAAAGAGCAGTCACCCTTGAACTCCGGTGCCCTCCATCTTGGATGCTCCGGTATCTCCTTCATCCTGATCTTCTTCGAGGTCTTCCTCTCCGCTTGGTTCAGCTTTAAGCACCACCGAAGTTGTGTTGGGTCCACAATATGGTGGCCAATCCCGCATACAAGAAATCTTCCTTGACTTGTCCTCCGAAGCAACGCCTATTGGAATTAACTCCCTGGTCTCCATTTTTGCCTTCTTGGTCGGCCTTCGTAGGGGAATCACCGGAGTAACCTTCCTCAGCCTTGGGCCCGTCTTTACTTTCTTCGCGGACCCCATCCACTTCCTAGTGCCAAACATTCTACAATTACAGAATTAACTTGACATCAGTACTTTCTAAACGAACCGTAAAGGAATACTATGAATCCTAAACTTAAGCTCTAATCAAGAGATAACGCTATGCGGAAGTCTTAATACGAAACATCCTAGAGACACTTGAACCTGGAGTGCTCTGATACCAACTGTGATACCCCTTGGATCCGAGATATGGGTTGATTAGGCCCAGGCCCAAACCCGAGGGATATCAGACAATTAATATTTAAACGAACACAGATGACAAAATGAATTTAATAAATAAAAGTTTAAAAGATGAAAAGAATACTAAAACATGATCCTTAAAATTTAATACTTAAAATCCCACATAATAAAGTTATAATAATCTAACTTAAAAACCTCCAAAGGTACAACCCGGGAATCCATCCAGTGGACCCCTAATAAGAAACCAAACTGAAATAAAACTAGAAGAAATTCATAATTAAATCATGGAGAGAGATCCTACGTCGTCGGAAGAATGAGTGACCTTTTATGCCTAGCATGAACAAGCTCAAGCTTGGAACTGACGTACACCTGAAAAATACGAGTGGGTCAGGCCCACGAACAAGTTCTATCCTACTACAATCCAAGCAGAGACTCGATACGCATATACATTCTAACCAACTCAACAATAACTGAATAGTCCGTAGATATATATATATATTCACACTACAGGACTTTCACTAGACTACAGGCCCGTCTCAGCCTGACTAGTAGGCACCATGCAAAGCGCACCTGAGGTGGGCATGACTACCTAGACCTAGTAGGGTACACATCAAACCATCGTAGCCAGTTATGCATCCCTATGCATATACGCTCCCTAACCATCGACTCTGAGACTCAGGCTCATATCGTGGTACCATAAAAATATATTTAAAATCCGTTCCCATCCATCCGTAAGAAATCCAGTTTAGTCGTTCAGCGTAATCAGCTGCACAGACTAACATATAAGGAGGACTCCATTTATTAAAATCCGTACCTTTATTCCAAAATAGGTATGACTTAGCAATTTGAGCTAAACCAATCCTAGTATGTCACCGTCCCATACCGGTGCATACCATCCATCCATCCAGTAGTTGACATTACAGATAAGGAATGTAAACATCAAACTAATCCATAACTACAAGAATTGATAATATAACTATGTAAATATAAATATCAATTGTTCCAAAAATACCTAGTCAATACGTATAGTAAACTGAACCAAAAGAAGCATACATAGAAATATAAACTAACATGCTTACTCCAGCAACTGATAAATCTAAATAATGAGATACATCAATTAATTTCATGACAAGCATAATACAAATAGACAATCTATCATGCACATACTATACCAACCCATTAATTGATGCTATAAATGATAAAAAGATACACATCAATTAATCCTCACTAAACATGACAAAAATAAAGAATTTGACATACATATTTTACATCATTGATACCTAATTAGAGACGAATGATCCCTGATAGAAAATTTATAAATTAAGTTCTAGCAATTTAAACATCCATAGTCAAATTCAGTATATGTAAATTGCTAAGAAATTCTTGTTATTCAAATTTCTAACAATCTATAACTGGGTACACCTTATGTGTTTTAAACCACACTTCTAAACCATCCAAAACCTACCATCACAGTCTCTAACTTAAGTCTGAAAACCCAAAAATCCATTCACAGTAGCCCAACCTCGCTGGAAATAGCAGAAAAATAAAAATAAAAATTAAAGAAAACAAAGAAACAGGCTAAATTCCCAACTTAGCAAGCTAAGTTCCCAATTGAGCCAGCTAAGTTCCCAACTAAGCAAGCTAAGTTCCCAACTTAGTCGACTCGGTTGGTGATGTCGTCTTTTTCACTTTCCTTGAGTCCGGCATCTTCCCGATGATCCTAAGATCTGAACTAGACTCCAAGGTGTTCTAGAAATAATTAAACCCTTTGTTTAATAATCGACAACAATTGCAACCTGAACTATGCAATAAGGATTTAAAAACAAGCAACTTACAGTTCATCAACGTTTACTGTTTAAACAAATCAACCATGAAACCCAGACTTATTTTAATGTTTACCCAATGTGTTCCAAACTTAATTCAGTTCCTTATTCAATAATTCGTCGTCATTTTAAATCATGAATTAAGCAAGAAAAATTCAAAACAAACAAGTTTACGCTACATGAAACACATATTGATTTAATTACCTCAGACATGCAAACCAGATTAATGTTTATATTTCTTTACTCCTAAAGTTGTGTTAAGAATGTAAAGAACACGAGCAAAGAGAAAAAGTTAGGATTAGAACTTGCCTGTAAGACTTTGGTTCAAAATCTTAGCACCGTCTTCCTAAGGTTTCTGGCAGTCCTCACTGTAATTCTCCTCCGTTCCTTCTCTGCCTCCACAGTCGTGAGTAAGGTTCTAAAAACCCTTGGCAGAACCTTATACGTATATTTATAGGCCAAACTAATCCTAGGTTCAATTAAACCCTAAACTGACTTACTCGGCCCACAAACCAACCTATGTTAGATATACGTCGGCTAAATACGTGAATTCTAAAAATACAAAAAACCTAATTTAATAAATAACACCTTTAACCATTAAAATAAAATAAAATCTAATTTAATAAACAACTAAAATAAATAAAATCCAATTAAATAAACATGAGATTCAAATAATTAATCAAATAACATAAAAACAAAACCATTTAATTAAATACATACACAATTAAATAAAATAATTAAATAAAACAACCACATAACACAAGTAATTTAAATAATGCACAATTAATAAATTAAAATGCAATTCAATAATTAAATAAATTCCAAAACTATCCTTTTAAAATTAGGTGTATTACATAAATTGAATGGATCATCATTTTCTTTATGCATAAAACTTGTATTTACACATGAATCTAGATCTTTATTTGAAATTCTCTCATAAAGTTTTAAAAATTTCCATTTCCCCAATAGTGGTATCAGAGTTAGATTTGATTCATGTATAGAGTTCATATTTTTTATTGAAAAAAATCATCATTCATGGATCCAAAGTTATATATGCATATGTATATATTAATATATGATCATTGTAATGACCCGGTCTTTTTCCTCCTTTTCCATTTTTGGTGATTTTCTTTTTTTTCATTTTTTTTTTCTCTTATTTCATCTTTTACTCGTTTATCGTTTTTCCTTGCTTAACCTCACTTTGGGTGTTCGGATTTGATTCCGGTTTTGCATGCATTCATGATACTTGATTTCCATGACATTAGTATTTTCGCTTTTGTTGAAAAGCATGCTAGTTGCTTTTATTTTTCATAAAGGGCATGAATGCTTACTTTAGTGTAATTATTCATAACTTTTGGGATTTTAGTGTAATTATGTAAAATTATTATTTTTCGTTTGAGGGACCTTTTTGCAATTTATTTTAGAAGATATTTTGAAAAAGGACCATTTTGCAATTTTTGGAAAGTGTGACAAGTGTTACACTCTCATGGAGCCATTTGTTGGCATTTAGGTGAAGAGACTTGGCACCATGACCTCGTGACATTTAGTGGGTGGAAATTCATCCATGTGTTGGCCTTAGATTGGTGCACATGTAACCATTGATTGTTGACAAGTGTAAGCTTAGGATTAAGTCTTGGAAGAGGCATTGGATTAGTGACAAGTGTAAGGCCATGATGTAGTCTTGCATTATGTGTGTGTGAGAGGTAGTGCAAGAGCACATAGTGAGTGGAGGATCTCTAGCCCTTCCACTCACCATTTTTACACTTTACGTTCTTCATTTCATTATCTCACATAAACCCTAACAAATCCATTATTGGAGGAAAGCTTAGTTAATAGCTTACCCCTTCAATTTGGCTCACTTCCATACACCTTAGACTAAAAACCTTGGGAGAGAAAAGTTTCCTCTCATTCTCCTCTTCAAGAACCCTAAACTTGTTTTCCATTTTGTGTTTGGTAGCTTGGATTATAGAGACACAATTCTCTATTGAGGTAGGGGTGGTAGTATGTTTATTTTCTAAGTGTTTTGAAATCCTTTGGGGTTTAATATATATTGTATACATGCTTTTAGAATTGTAGTATTGCATACTATAGGAAATCCTTATGATTGACGTAGGATTTCATTGATCAAGCATGTATGTTGTGTATATATCTTGAGTAGGATTGTTGAAGTTGTATAGAATTCTTAATGATTTGAGTTACTATACTATTGTGATGGTAATCCTACATTCTAGTAGATTACTATTGATAATCATGATTGTTTTAGAAGCTATTTGCTAAAATGCAAACATTTAGTATATATGTCTTATTGTTGAGGCATGCTTAAATTGATAAGTTAATGATATTGTTTTGTACATTATATCATGTTAAGAACTTGTCATCTATCATGCCATTTTAGACTTGGAACCCTAAGACATGGTTGTGTGGTTTCAAAGTTCTTGTGCTTGTAAGGTGATTGATATGCCTTATTATTTATATATATAAGTTTTGAACTTGATATATATTTTGGATTCTCCTGGGACATGGTTACTAGTAACATGGCTAGAGTTTGGCTCTAGTGCGGGAGGTATGAGTTCTCCCCAATTGAGATACTGCGCACTTAGGGTGGTCTTCCCTGTGGGTTAATGCTCGGAATAACCGTTGAGGTCTCGGCAGAATTCCAAACTTAGGTGTCCAAGGATTCCACTTTTTTCGATTTCGCATTCATTTCCAAGTTAACAATCAATGCTATTTGTAACTTGTAAATTTTGTTATATACGATTTGATGTTGTTAAATACATCCATTTTGATGTTGTGTTGCTAAGAAACATTTAAGTTAGCTTAAGATGATCCCTTAGAACACCTTGAACATAGACGTTAAGTGGAATGCTCCCTTGTATTCGTCTATATTGATCTTGCAATGATATTGAAACTTTAGGGTATACGCATATGCTTCTCCTACGAGTAACTTGATTACTCACCCTAGTGGTTTGGGTTATTTTT